GGATAGACGAGGGCCCTGACTGAACTGCATACGGCCGAGTTTCAACTGCAATTGAAACTCGGGCCCTGACTAAACCGCTAAAACGCAGTTTCGAATGCAATTACAAACTGTTTTCGTGACTGCGCCGAAGTTACCCCAAACAAAAAACAGATGCTGGCTCAAAGGGGCTGTCCAGTTGATGTGGCTCAGTGGTTAGAGCACCAGTTGGAACTGCTCATTGTGGTATGAGGTTGCGGGTTCAAAACTCAATTGCAACCTTGTGCATGGACACCAGCAGGGCGTTAGATTGACGCACGGCTGGACATATACTCCCTTGGGCTGACGCATGGGGCTATTACAGACTGCCTGTGAACCACCCAAGGGTTTTTCGTGGTGTTGTATGTTGATTCTGGGTTTCACATGGGTTGCTTGGGGGTGTTGGTCTTGGGTGTTCTGTTGATCTCCCCAGTCTGGCTTATCACATGTTCATGCCATTTCCGCTAGTCGTTCACACGGTAGAGTCATTCGATTACATGTTACAAGGTCAAGGGTTCGAGCTTGGTTCAGACCTTGGGGGGTTCCTCACTCCCTTGGGCTGACGCATGGGGCTATTACAGACACTGCCTGTGAACCACCCAAGGGTTGTTCGTGGTGTTGTATGTTGATTCTGGGTTTCACATGGGTTGCTTGGGGGTGTTGGTCTTGGGTGTTCTGTTGATCTCCCCAGTCTGGCATATCACACGTTCGTGCCGTTTCATTTGATTACATGTTACAAGGTCAAGGGTTCGAGCTTGGTTCGGACCTTGGGGGGTTCCTTGTCCAGCTTACCCCGTTCTCTTTTCGATATACACACATGATGCTGCCTATACATCTTGATACATTGATTCACAGAGCTCACACAGCCTTCGGGCATATATACATAGCTTCAAGCTTGTGAATTATACATGGCCTACGGGCTACATACACAAGTTTCACACATGGTGCTGTTTGTACATCTTGATACATAGATACACATGTGACGAACTACTTCCCGAACCCGTGCCATCTTTTGTGCCCCT